AATTTCGGTTTTCAGGTTATTAGTAATATGAAATATGGGAGAGAGGCAGAATTTGGTTCCCGAAACTGATCGTACAGTATATGTTTTTCTGGTAGCTGGTGCTCTTTGGTCTTACGCACTCGTGTGTTTTCACGAAGGAGAATTTCAGTTTCGAGGGCTGTTGTACTATTCGGTCTCTTAAACCAATGTAGTGGGTCAATTTAAGTTATCTAAGCCGGATATATCAACGGGATAGTTTTACCCACAAGACAATGGGGTGATGCTTTTAACAAACCATTCATTGGGGGTGGATTCTCTCATCGATGGAGTCGTATACCATTCGGGCTGGGTTTCCAAAACACCTAATCCCATTGGTAACTGTTCCTCTGTCCCAAGTGAGTTCATGCGTCTCATACGGAGTTTTCAGAAATCAAGGTTTACTGATTCTTCTAGACTTTCTACCTGCAGGTGGTTCTTCAACTTCATTTTCGTCCCACAAATCAACCTCTAGCCCTCACACCTAGGCGAAAACACTCCACAAGGAGTTAGAGTAGTAATTACGAAGCAGACACTAAATAAAGACAGCTAGGGCTTGGCATAGAAACTTGAAACCCAAAACGTGCACCTTTGAGTATACCGGAGCGTTGGACGTCTGTTGACTTTCAGGCTAATTAATTTCAGTTGGATAACTGAATGTTTCTTCTGATTACTTCCTAGTTAGTAGATACGGTCATTATCGATGGAGCGACACCAGATTACCAGAGCATCCATGAACTGTGCGTACGCAGTTACTGGCCGTAGGATAGACAACCGAATACATACAAGTGAATACACATATGTGAGAGCTTGCCTCGCAAATCGACTGACTGTCTATTTTGTGTACGACAGTGCTTCCAGTCTTGATCAATCGGCTTCATTGGAAGTTCAAGTATAAATATTCCCCGGATAGGGATTTGCCATCGTAACTTTCCATGGAAAGCAAACTGGAGTGGTCAGATAAACGGTATACTTTCTTTTCAGCAGAAAAATACAACTAGTTGCAGAATCAAATCCAGTTCTGTAAGACACGATAAATAGTTTACGTCCTATTCACATGGCAGAAAAAGTATTCGCGTGCTTTCGGGCTTTCTGTAACACTTAGAGCAGTAAATGGCAGATATTTCGTATCTTCCATATAATTAATCATGCGACACGAGCTTGGATACCTCGGTACTCCGGTCACGATCAAATTTCTCATGAACTTTTCTCGCAGCAGAATTTAATGGTGGTGACTGGATTCCCATTTTTTTAATTACATGCTTTTGTTTATCGTACGGCAGATGGGATAGACCCCATAATCATTGTAACTTCCCGTTCGCTGGTGATGGTCGGTAACCTAAGCACTGGGACTTGGAATGGTGAACCACATAAGGTCTTTGAGTGACGGGTGTCGTGTTGATCCAGATGACAACGAAGCCGCCAAACACCAAATTTGATTCAGAATGGTAGGGTTTGAACCTCACACCTAGAACTTCCGGATCATGCCAATGACAGCCAATAAAACTATTTCATCAACACTGGATTCGGGACCTTGAAGTCTGATGCACTTGAGTACAAATAGATTGGTTGACTATTTATGAACAAATTTCCCGCTGTACTGTAAATTGAGGTGGTTGGCGGTTAGAACGAAACATACTTTCGATGAAACTTAACTACCGTAAAGGAGTCCTGGAGTTCTATTTTGTCTTCCGATGGAACACTAGGTGTGGATAAATTCTTGTGTATTACTTTTACACGCGTTAGAAACCGGCTGTCATCATTTTTTCGATTGTCCTTGGATTAAATCATAAGAATGAGTAAAACTTTGGTGGTGGTCCAATAGGACGCACGATAAACGGGATGTCAATCCTCTTTGTCTGGATTTTACAGTGTCAGCTCATCTATCGCTTCTGAATTTCGCTACCTTATTTCCTCTACCACATTCCCGTTTACTTCCCCAGTTTACCGTGCATATTACCGGTGTCAAATCCCCAGCCATCTGCTGTTCGTCCCAAATTTCCTCCATATGCGCCTCGCCAACCCGCGAGTGAGGTTTCCATTCGGACTGGTTGGAAATCGACACCCTCCGCTTCCGCAGGAAAACCAGTCCCCAAGCCATCGGTGTTGACGTCATCTAGTTCTTCCAATTTGCCGTCTGTTAATGTAACATGCAGTTTGCTGTCGGAGACCGCATTCGAGGTGCAAGCACGTTATCATGCAGGTCTATCAGAATTGTACAAAAGCCTCCCAACTCGTCAGTATGGTGAGTTTTTCTAAGAAGGTTCACTGTTTTGTACCCAGGGGTAGTGTGAATTGAGTCAACTTCGTTTTCACAGTAGATATTTTTCACTTTTTGTTTGGTCAATAACCTTTCATTTTTTAAAATAATTTTACGAAATGACAGGCCGTACCAAACAAGTCGAGTTCCTTGTAGGTGGGGGAAACCTAAGTGGCCAGATGCCAGTGTTTATCTTTTCTGATTCTTAAGCCCAGCAGAGCGCTCGACAATCTGATCAAATCAGGTTGAGTTCAATTGAGATGACATACGCCATTGAAAGACAGCTCCCTATCGGTAAGATGATTCAGCTCACAGGAATGCATAGATCCCTAGTCGAGTGATGAATGAACTCCTTCGCGTTGTTGAATATATATACGCCAGCACACCGCTCTTGGTTTTGCAAGGGTTAGGTATGTGCCTCAAAGCGTCTCTCGTGGAAACTCAGGGCTATCCTGTCCAAGTAAATTAAATAAATAAAGCTCTTTATATCTGAATTTACGGCTTAATCAAATTTAGGCGGCTTCAATGCAAACCTTGAAATAATTGGGAAGCGCAGCGCTTTCTGAGTGGAGGGAACGGGTTAGAAATATCAATATGAGAGGGTCTCTTGCGGCGGATAGCAGAGCAGTCCTAGTTACAATGAATTAACGTATCTTATCGTTATGCTACTTACTTTTTATTGAATATGCAGTGATACAATTTGGAGAAAGGGAAAGCTTTCAGTCGATGGATTGCGTTACAGCACACAAAGAATGAGGTTGACTTTGTTGGCAATGGGCATATGCTGTTGGTCAGAAAATGAATACCCCACCGTACGTGAATAAATCGTGCACAAGTTGGTTATTTTTATTCGATCCTGTTTAAAACCACCAAGAGCCGTGCTTACTATTCCCGCAACTTGACGCGATATAATCAGATGACTTCAGTTTTGTGAAAGATACTCAGTTTACCTCTGTTCACATATGGGAAGATGCAAGCACTCGGTATCCGTATCATTTCAGAGGTATTAGGCAAACCAACATGCAAAGCTTCCGGGTGGGTAAGACGATACATAGAAATTGGTATGTGTCACCTCTAGTGTTATAACTCCACAAAAATAATGTTGACCTGAGGAGAGTTATTTATAGGAAGAATGACATGAGTATGGTTAAATAAGATTACACAGAAGGAAATGTCTCATGTGAAGCAGAGCGGTCACACTTTCGTCGAACTCTCAGAATCATTGGTGCAACAGTCCAATTATATGTTTGCATCTTCTGTAATTACAACTTGAATGCACTAATTCACTGCGGGAAGCCTTGTTCATTTTTGAATATTGTGAGGAACCACTTATTACTTCATCTTGCACACGCACACGCGCCAACATACTACTCGCAAATGTGAATAGTACCTCACAATTCTAATAGTAGTCGTTCCTTTGTGACAAGCGAAAGCTACTATGTACGCAGAACTTGGGATTGCCAATAGGCTACTTTGTTGCGTAGAAGAGGAATTTGATATGGTCTTTTTACCTTCTCATTTCGATTGAAGCATTATATCCTAAGATATGGATCAAGATTAGCCTTTTATAAATAAAGTTTAAACCGTCCCACTAGACCACCATAAACAAACATTTTGAATCTAACACAATGTAGCGAACAAAAATTATTTTCAGTAGTTTGTCTTCTTTGGCTAATATATTACAATTTATATAACTTGAAAAAAACAAAACAGGAGGGCGGTAAAAGTAGTACAAAATTAATAAATTGGAAAATATATAGATATATAGTCTGCTTTTTCCAGTCTGACGTGTAGTCCGGATTTGACGAAGATTCAGATGGGTACGTGGAAATGGGGTGAGTGGAGGGCCATAGTAGTCACACAATTGTGGACTTTGAATGTGGATTCCCATTGATTTCGCTGTGGCCAGGATGCGATATTTGATCCATGTAGATTGTTTCCTTTTTTCATTTTCACTGCATTGAATTTACGAACAATAATTTTGGGAAGGGGAAGCGACCAATCACAGGTCTGCCATATAACACATAATGGTTAAAGTCAGGCGGCAGCGGTGGCGGTAGTGAGATTCGGACACACGTCCTCCTGGATAGTAATTTGGTGACGTTACCACCGGGCCACCACCGCCCAATCCTGGAAGAGGGAGAAAAACGCCCAGGTCAGGTCAACTAAATATTAGCCGATGTGTCAACTGTCTTCCTTATTGGGCAGTGCTCCTGAAGACTGCGCCAACTCACTCAATTTTTGCAAAATTCTATTTGCAATTCAATAGCCCCCAACTGACCGCAGTGTCTATTCACAAAAAGGTTCGTCAATTTGTTCTACATCGGGACTAAGCAAATGCTCACCAAAATCTCGTTAAAGCAAAAGCAAATTTGGGTCCCATATCACAGCATCTCTCCTGATTGTCTCTCTTAGGATGTTCGCGATTGTTGGTTACCCAAACTGTGAGATTTGAACTTGTATCATTATTGATGCACGTAATGGAGTGGACTGGGTATATATTTACTCTGCATATCGAGGAGGATGGAGGCATTCGTTTCTCCCATTCGACTGCCACATTTAAAATATTGGAACCAGGTCACATTTTCAATTTTCCCCCGGTCGCCATTTATATTCCCTTTGTGTCGTTGCATTTGTTACCGTCAGATCCGAAAACCCGAAGATGGTCATTCGCTTTGACGGACTATAACGAGTTCGGTAGGTTTGACCGATTTGTTTCCTGTAGCTTACCGTTTAATCCAAGTGAAACGTGCCAGATCGATGCCTGGGGTGGTTATTGACGGACTCCCTCAAGCCGTGCTAAAGGTACCGTACTGTTTAATTAATTACCGGTTGGGTCTACCTCCCCTAGGTGTTTAAACAGGCTTTGTCGTCCGCATTTGTCAAATCCACGGGAGAATCTCAGTCATCGCAAATACGATTGTCGGATTATCTTCCGGATGACTTGATCGCTTCCTTGCTCCCATTCCAGCGTGATGGTGTCAGGTATTACGGAAAACCTTTTTTAGTTGCTATCACTTTATTGATACATAGATCAACTTGTTTTAGATCATATTTTGATGTTTTTCGCTCCGATTGCTATGGAATTTCTGTTTATCTGACGGTTTTTGACAGGATTTCCGTTCTCCTTTTCATCTTTCTAATTTATCTGGAGTTCATTCTCACTTTATTCAAACCGTTACTTATTGAAAGTTCAAAATGGAAGCCCAATGATTTACTCAGATCTAGGTTTTCTCTTTCCCTCGTGCACTGTTCCTCGGTGGATCGGATAAAAAGCTAACTTGAAGAATTTCAGATCGGTTTCACTTTGTGTATCCATGAACGTCGTGAACGTCCGTTAACCGGAGGGATTGCACGCAAGCAAAACGCTTACAGATGTACTGAAATAATGGTTAGTAATGCCGGTTGGCTGAGTGTTACAATGACCTGATGCTAGTGCCAGTTTACAGCAGCTATATCATCCAGCGTCCCAAGCCATTAATTGGAACAATATCAGGCTCCACAACCTGGAATCGTAGGATCATCTCTACCGGTTGGGGTTGCCACACGTTTATACCAAGGCATGGTCTTCCCCTTGGATCTTATTCCAATCATTATATGCCTAGACTGGCATTGCATACCGAAAAATTTCTCTGGTGGCATAAGTATTATATTCTCCGAGCCACCGCAGTCTGTGATGGTCAAGCATTCTAGGAAGTGCGCTCCACCATTGCTCGGCGGTTGTCCCATCAGACTGATGAAGTGTCTACGCGTAACGAACATATTTTCGCATCATATTGCAACACCGGTTAACCCGATGCGGCTTACCCTCAGTTCTTCACAGGCAGTTGCACGTTGCGGTAACGCCAAAACTGGATGAAGTTAGTTAACTTCAGTCGAGTCCATTGTATAATTAGTATGCTCTCACTTCGTACACAATTATTCCATCAGGAGAGATGTAGCTGCTAAAGTAATGAAGTTCGTCTATCTTTTCTACTTCCTCCACAGTTCGACTGAGGTTAGGAGCTGGGTGAACTCAATATTTTGGCAGTATTTTACTCTGCACCTAAGCCATGCAGAAAAATTATCTAAACTTTTACTCATCAATTTAATGTTGTCTGTAGAATGTATATCAGATAGCTTACTATAAAATCAATACTGCTATGTCCCTCGTCGGCGTCGAACGCACGAAAACCAATGTGCAGTTAATAATAGAACGGAACTGCACGGTTGCTTCATTCGTACTGGAACTCATCATTGATGCAGTTACACAATGCACGAAGACTCTTTCGCTAATTTTGTGCGCCTCATAATTCGTTTATCCTGGATGACCCACGACAGGTTACTTCACACCACTCCTAAACTGTATAGCACCCATCTTTTACTATTGTATGATCTATGATCTATTCGTATTTTTCTGACCATTTTCTCCCCCTTGGGGCCCAAATCAAATTCAGTCTCCTCGTAGGCTTGGTAGCGTAAAACCTTTGGTTAACTGACACATTGTGCGCAACTTTATCCGGTAATTCCTAGGTATCTGAAATTGATTCGTTCAGCGGGTACGGGGACCAAACTTTGCCGGCCTTATCGTGCTGTGATATATTCCGTTAGACCAAGAACTGTTGATAACAATGTAATAATTGTGGTTTTTGTTAGTCGCGGAAAAGAAGTCCATGATTTGGATTGATAAATAACAATGTTATTTCAATTTACTCATGAAAACTATTGCTGATCAGTGGTGAACTGTATCGGAAGATTCTTCTGAATAGGACAAACTGTTCTCCGTTCTGGTTATTTTCCACCGCCTTTGGCACTTGATGAACCATAATAAACCCGGGAACAGTGGGGAAAAGTAGTGAATTCAGTAGATGTTTCTGAGGAGTGTTTATCATTGTCCGGAAAATTTTTCACTTCCTCCCCGACGATCGGCAACTGGCATCCTCATTTATCTCCAATCAGTGCTAATTTTCGGATCATTTGTATGCACACATTACTATGCCTTATTTCCTTACCACCTTCGTATCTTTGCTCAGTACTCATTTACTCCCTGCTTCTCACCATATTCATTATTTCAATATACGCTTTTAGTTTGGCACTAGCTCGAAAGGGTCGCGTCCTGTTGGCTGACGATATGGGCCTCGGGAAAACTGTACAGTCACTTGCCCTGGCCGTCGCGTTCCGATCAGATTGGCCACTGCTCATTGTGGCACCGTCCTCCGTTCGTTTCTCGTGGCGTGATCATTGCCTTCGTTGGTTGTCCGGTCCGACACAGATCACAACTAGTGATATCCTGGTCGTCGCCACGGGTCGTGATCTGGACAGTGTCAATCGGTACACAACCAGTCTGGTCACAATTATGAGTTACGACTTAATGGCGAAATTCTCGGGACAGCTTGAACTGTGCAAATTCGGAATGGTGATTATGGTACGGTTTGGGGTTATGCGCAACTGTATTTCGTTGTTACACCTTCTTTTAGGTTGATGTTCCGTGAATACCTCGGTTTGCACTAAATATAGAAACCGTCGTTCAAAATATACACTTCGAGTTGACTTAGCATTAATTCTTTATCATGATACCTAGAAAGGTGATTTGTTCAGTTCTGTTGCTGCTTCCATCAAAAATTTTTATGATGCATTTTCACTGCATCCGCCTTACATGTCGTGTAACGGTTTCTAACTCGTGTTTTGTTTCCAGGATGAATCACACTTTTTGAAGAACATCAAAGCTGCTCGTACAAAAGCAGCCCTACAAATCGTGAAGGTGAGAGGGTAGAAAACTTTNGTGAGAGGGTAGAAAACTTTGTGAGGACACTTCTTTACTTTCTTGAAAAAAGAATCCCCTTGTAGGTGTATTTTGTTTCTGTCTCACAAGATGGAATGCATATGCTTTGGGGATCACCATTATTCACTTTTACTATGGTACACCCTCAACTTAGGCTGCAAAGCCAACAGATTGCGCCCATAATTTTATGCCGAACATTCATTAGCCATAAAATACTTTTTACAGCAATAAATATATCGTCGCTGTAGGTTGTATTCAATCGGGTCAGTTGGCCGTCGATGGAGTTCAGCGTGAAGACGGCTCATTTTCCTGAGGATTGTAACTATGAATGTAGTTCCCTTTATTAGCTGTTAGAGAGAAGTTTATTAGTGCGTCAGTGAATTTCAAGCAGCTCGTTTCAGAGGAATCCTAAGTTCAGGCAGATAAGTTAATCTTATAAACATGGTTTTGTTCTCAGTGTCCACAATTTTTGTTCGAATCCGCAGTGGCCTGCAACCGATGCACTTTGATAAATATTAACACAACATTATTACTACTCATTAGTAGTTTAATGCGGTATGATGAATTTTCCTTTGATGACCATCAGGTAATGTGCACGCAGCTACCTATCACCGGTGACTTTTCTCACTAGCTTAGCAGCCAACCCAAATGATGTTATTATAGCATGAATGTCAACTTTCCAAAAAAGCTAAAGCGCAACTTTTTGCATCGAATTCATCTCGACCACCGTAGTTAATGTTCGAAGAATTTTTCGTGCGGAAAACTGAGAAGGCCTAGAGGGTGTTTTTAATGTAAACAAGTGAGCGCGCGATCACAATATAAATATTTTGTAGTTGTATGCTTACAGTGCCTTTCGTAAAATTTTCATATGCACATCAGATGAGACCATGCTACCCTCTGCTTCCCTTGTTGTTTTCATATCACACCCAGCGAATGAAACGAGTTGTCTTACTCAGTGGCACACCAGCGGTTTCCCGTCCGGCTGAGTTGTATCCACAAATTCAGGCTGTGTCGCCTACCTTGTTCCGGGGTGGATTTCATGAATTCGGTTTACGTTACTGCGCCGCCAAGGAATGCCCTTGGGGATGGGACTATTCCGGTTGCTCGAACATGAGTGAATTGCAACTTCTGCTCGAGGCGTCCGTCATGATCCGGTAAGTGAAACAGACTGGACATGTTAACTCATATGGTGAGGTTAATGTTCATCGTGCGAATCGTGCCTTCAAGGTATATTTGATCATTCACTGTCATTGGTTTCACAATATTCAAACACGGCATCCTTACAGTTTTATTACTTCTCCCCGCCCCATGTAATTCACGCTGAGTTGTTCGCTCAACTTGGTTCATATTAAGAGCTCATGCATATGGTATTGTCGTTTGCAGCTGTCCATAATTTTGCTGTTCAACAGTGGGTGATGGGAAATGTACGGTTTTCTTTGACGAAGAGAATGATTGTGTACAAAGCAAAGACAATGTGATGAATATAACTGCTGGGAAACAGTGATCAGCTGTTTTCAAGCAACTGCGCGCATCCATCGATCTGTTCGGTCATCGAGTAGCTAAATGCACTGGTTATGTTCATTTGTGATACAGAACAGCCCATGTTCGCAAGCTCATTGTGAATAGGTGACTCGCGTAGCTTAGTTCTTTTTGTACCGGCAGTTATTCGACCGTAGGCGAAAAGTGTTTTGTGTTCCTCTCGAATCTCCCTTGGACATTCACACAGTTTGTTGAGCTATATTCACTGTATTTTAAAAACTGTGATAGAGACGAAGAGAGGATAGGATAGGATATCTGCTGTCGAAAGGAACCCCTGTTAAATGAAACATTTTCTTTTGTTGTCTATACGAGTTCCACTCGGTAGGGATCTGAGCAAACAATGAAAAACTGATAAGCCCCCGCCAAGATAAAACAGCTGTCCTGTGGTCTTATTCGGTCAGCTCTTGTATGTAATATTATTATTTGTTTTCTCTTGTATCAGAGTTTTGTTTTCCTCCTCTCTGAAAACTTCCGTACGGTTGTGATTCTCAGTTCATTTGTGAGACTTCTTACACATGAAAAATTTGTCACAGAAGGTTAGTTTTCTGAGAGGAAATGTTTTGGTTTGTTAAGTATTAAACCTTGTCCTTCATCGCAAATATTTCCATCCTATAGAAATTTATCTATCCCCTTTTTATTTCTTCAACTTCCTTTTATTTATTTATTTATTAACGGTGCAAACAATTTTCATATAGGAGCAAGTGGTCGATCGTAGAGCTAACATATGGTACCTAGAGATGGAAGAGGGGAAGTTCAGAGGCGAAGTAATAGATAAGGTGATGATCCGTTTAATAATAACATCCACGCTCGATAACTGGTAAATTACTTCAGTGATGCATTCACCAGTTACTCATTTCTTACAGACGTATCAAGTCGGACGTGTTGAGTCAACTTCCACCGAAGCGTCGTGAACTGGTCGTGTTGGATCCAAGTGCAATCCGATCTGCACGGTTAAAACGACACGCAAAGGCGATGGCCTCTACCACTCTGTCAGTGAGTTTGTTGAACAATTCACTCCAATTTCTGCTTACTAGTCGGAGCAGAGAAAAAGTGCAATGTTGGAATACTTTCACGAAACTGCCTCGGTCAAAATTGCAGCTCTTCGGTAAGTGCAGTTGTCTGTATCGCTTGCCACTGCAATTTCAATCATGTTTAGCGGTCACAATTTCTTTTTGACACAATCTGATTTTCTCGGGAGGTGAACCAATCACGTGATGAAGCTCATCATTCATAGATTAATCCTTCAGGGACTGAACCATTAAGTGGTGCCTCAGTTTCACAGTTTCGGTTTCAGGTTGTACAATCATTGACCATGCACTATCGTTCGCCGGTTTTGGTTGCTGTCTTTTGGCCTCCCATTTTGATGAGCATTAGGAGAAAGACAGGAAAGGTTGAAAGTAGGATCAAAGAGAAAATTCAGAAATTCAGTGGACTAATTTTGCAGAGAAATTGACAAGATGCACGAACGCCACCGTTTACGACACTCAGCCATGTCACTCAATGTCTCTAACCTTCGGGTACGATCATTCCGAGGTCCCCATCCATGGAGCCTAACCGGACCTATGTCACCCAGACTCCTGGTTAGGGTTTTCATACCCTCCCACCCACTACCTGCTTCGGCGAAAATCGCTCGCCGTGGCAACCTATCTGGTGATATGCGTAACACGTCCCAACCAACGTAATCTATGGAGGTCGACCTTTGCTGCAGTGGGCTACCACGGTTACCTAAAACTCTGCGGTTAGCAGCATTGCTCTTCCGGCTGCCCCACCGAATTCGTGCAGTGCCTCAGTTTCACATATTCCGTTCGAGTAGTATCGCTTGTAACGTCAGACGTTAATTGATTCTCTTTCTCTCCCCCTAAAAGATTTATTTATTCCGGGTTAGTTCGGTGGGAAGTGATCCAGTGATCTAAATGTAAAACTAAGACTCCGGTATTTACATGGGGCAAAAGTGCCACTCACGTGTCATTCATCATTATGAAGCCATTCCTGCGAAAATTCTTGATGCGTTGTTTTTGATAGGCTGAAGTGGGTCATTGTTATTGCCATCCGACGTGCGATACTCCTACAGAACGGAATTGGTTAAACTATGGTAAGTGCATAATGTGTCACACAGGTGTTCACCAATGAATCGATTCGGATTCAAAGATTCAAAAATTTATTATGGGATTAACTTACAAGCTCATACTTTTCTGGTCCCATAGGTTCGTGCGGTAGAGTAAGATACAGTGATACATACAATTCTTTGTGTAAAATGTCACGTGATACGTGCGTTTTCCACTGCTGCACGCAG